TATACAGCTCTTGTTTCAGAGCAGGTTGAGGCATTAAAGCGGTTGTCCAGAGACTTGCTGTCTGTTTTCGGTGGTTGTGCAGTTTTAGATGCAGATCGCGTGAATTGGGTTCAGCTAGAAAGTACCCATGTATTTTCCGACGACAGAACAATTTTAGTGAACCCAAATACCATTTTGGATTTACTTCCTGATGATGGAACCTTTACGATTCAGATTCTCGACTTTCTTGGACCAGATTCAGCTTTTGAATTGGTTAAGGACTTTGCTCTGGTAATTGCGAATTGGGTTGCTAGTGTGAGCATCATTGAACCAGAACGGAACAACAAAAATGAACCGTTGGAAGGAAACACTCCCCCGGCGCTACCACGCGACTTGATTAAACTGAAGGGTAGATATATATCAGCTCTTATCAATTTACACCGTGATAGGCTGCATTCACGATGGAGTGAGGGGAGATTGACATGATTGAGCAAGAGCATGCCGCTCTAACCGACCTTTATGCTTCGCAAGTCGAATTTCGTCGTCAAATCGACGAGGCACCATCGGAACCTAAGACCGTGACAGCTTTCGAAGAAGCTTGGAAGGATATATGCGGGAGATGTCAGATGCTACATCGTTTTGCTGGAGGACTTGCGACTAGATTTCCTGATACATCTTCAGTTGAAAGCAATTTTTCTGTTCTGAAGTGGAAAAGAACCCTTTTAAAAAGCAGGCTGACGAATTTCTCCCTTGAAGGAGCCTTACACTCTAAACAGTACGATCTGCTTGAGAGTTTAACAGGCCTCGAGATCAATGAATAGTCTAGTAGCGCTCTAACAGACAAGAAATACGACACCTTTGGATTAAGAAGATCTCCCCGATGTACTTTAATACTGCTTTTAGTATGGTGCCATTTCCTGTGTCGTCGGAATGCCAGATTCAGGTCAAATCAGTCAAATTGGGCAAATGCCAGATTTGTAGATGCCTGACCATGCGTCATCGGTTTTGCTGTCTAATTAAGTATCGTCTCGATCGTCTCGAGCACGGCCGATGAAATGTTTGTAGAATTGGGCTTGCACGGCTGCACATACGAGTCCAAGTAGCACAACGTTCCAATATGACCCTACCCTATGTCGTTAAAGTGACCGATACCCTTCAGCTCGCAGAATAGGCTCTCCCAACGACGCGGGCGTTCTGCTTGCGCAATAATTGCCGGCCTTGTCACCAGCAGCTGGATATACTTGGCACTGGGAGCCCTCACGAGATCGTACGCGTCAGTCAGGTCTACTTCATCTCTCATCATGTATTCGATGTTATCCGTCATCAAGCCGTCTTTGAGCGCAACTTGGTCATCGGATGAGCCATAATACGGAATCCAGTCCCCATCTTTTCCTTTAGTCAGGAGGAGGCGAAGGCCGTCAGCTGGGACCATCGCCGCTCTTGCAATGGTCGAACGAAGATCATTCAGAGGCAACCTCATATCAACGGCGACCCGAAGTTCGCTGGATTTAATCCCGTGGAGTTTGCATTCGACGTTTCGCACAGCCGGCACCATAAGAACTTAAACAAAATCGAGCTGTTCGTTTAGAGGTGTCTTAAAGACGTCGTCCACTAGAGCATCTGCGTCCAGCTCGAGGTCTCTCATTAAGATTTTCTGGAGGTGCCGAGTCTCGCCGGTTTTCAGCAGCTCATGCACTTCTTTAGAGCGCGCCGCGAGAGGGTTGCCCTCCTTCTTAGCAGCAAACAAGAGGAAACCGTCCACGTCGAGGGTCTTAAACCTCTCACCGAGGCTTCGCTTGATGACCACCTTTAGATCACGAATTGTGGCAGTGGCATCGACTTGCACAATGAACATAAAGCCCCGAAATCTGGCCGGGATAGCTGCATGATCGTCAGAGTGTTTCACGGAGCTTTCTTAGCGATTTGCAAAATGTCTGGCGTTTTTGGATATGATTGAAATGGTTTACCTGCTTAGGCCAATTTTGGAAATGTTAACAGTCAAAAGAAATGCTAACAATTTCGACCGTAACCCCTATTGGGGAATAAACATTTGAACAATATCAGCTTAAAACTTTCATTTCTTTTCTACAATACCGTAAGCTAGTTTTCTCGTATCGAAAAAGACGCTTCGAACACTTATACTTAGTGCGACTACGTGTATTAACCGGCTTGTAGCCCGACCATGAAGAGAGAAGAGTAGCAACACTGAGACTAAACTTAGGTGCTTGAGGCTGAAGCATTTAAACATCAACCTCCTTTCTCGCAAACGTGGCATCCTGAGTTTTCATCTCCTGCAGCGAAGGTTTCTTGCTGCTTTGACGTCGGTGCGTTGAGTTCAGTTAAACTTATTTTTAGGAACGCCGGTGGATATTACACGTTGTTGGGCATCGCTTCTGCAACAACATCGACGCTGGCGCCGTACGAGTGTTTCTTTTGTGCAGGGCAGAAATGCCAATTGGCTGACCAACATGCAACTGTCGCAAAATGTCGTCGGCATCGTCTCGAATTATTTGCCAGTGGACCTTCATCAAGACTGAGTATGATGCGGAGAAGGGAATGATCCGAGCGAACTGATCACGACACGCTACCGCCTTCGATCGACAAGCTACCTCAATAAGAAGATGTGGTTCGCCTTTGTTGGATATAGAAGTTGTTGTGTAAACGCCGTCAGTTTGGAGAGTGAGATAGCATCAAGGCCATCTCCTCCGTCACATCCCTCGGCTTACCCTTATGGATGGCAAGGTGGCCTCGTTTCTTTGGTCGGTCCACAATAGGAGTCTGTTTACGGCCAATAGGAACAGCTTATTTACTCGTAACTTAACTTCAGGCAGTACACACAAAATCTATACGTATTGCGGCGTAGCACCCCCACTAAAGGAGGTCACCAAGCCATCATCCTTTATGTCGATCTTTCTGGGTATTTGATACTCAAGTCAACTTCAATTCCTATTTTCAGATGTGGTCTTGTCGCAAACTCGCATTCAACTTAGCCTTTGGACATGTATAGGAATGTTCGTTTACTTAGTGTAAGTTTACTTAAGACACCTTTCCCATACCTTTCGTCGCCCTTCTGGTTTTCTTTCGCACTCTCGATTCTGGTTGTCTTGTACACAGGTGCTGGTCCCGCTGAAACCCATTTGGGGGGGGGGGTCGTAAGCCGTTCGACATTCACCTGGCGACACCAGCCTTTGGCTTAGGCCGCAATGAGCACCGACTCGAGGCTTTTCTGCAATCGGGCTGCCAGCCGCCCAACCGGAGACCCTGTCGACGGAAAGTCAGATTATTCTGTTCCCGCGGCGACCCAGGCTTTGACCACAAGCACATTCTTTGCAGGCACCGAATTGAGAGTACTCTAGATTTTGCTTAAACTTTAATTAAAAACGAGCAAAACGAACTCGGGGCTTAGCGGCTGGACGGCCGAACATGCCGGATTTCTCAATTTAGGGTTAGGTGACGCTTAAAACAAAGGTTTTAGCTCTTAAACATACCTTAGACTAGTACCTCGTACTACATTAACGATCCAACCAAACCTCTGTAATCGAATGGTTGAATTGCTATTTGGTCTGGTGTTAAAACTTTTTCTTTTTCTAAAACCACACTTTTGGCTTGTGGTGTTGAGACAGTATTACAGTCCCGCATTTGAAACTTTTCTAAAAGATCTTGAATAGAGACCTTTCGCAACCTGTTTTTTGTTGAGTTTCAGTCTTCTTTTGAGTTTCTAGGGCGAGCCCTCTCAAATACGATAATTAAACGGAATTGCGTTTGAGTTAAGTGGCCGGTTTGTTCAACTCGGATTTGAGCTCACTTTCGTCTTCACAGCTAGCACCATCCAAATTCGTCAATGGTCTTCATAGCACTGAAGCTCACAGCGGAGCAAGCACTTCGCATCATTAGCTGTTTGTTGCTTGCTGCACGGGGTAATCGGAAGCGCTTCCTGCGCACAATGCACTTCCTCATCGCCAGTCATTGCTTCCTTCTTCGAGACCCACCTCCTCGGATCAGCACAAGCAGCCACTTCGACCCCTCCATGGACGACGCGACGACACGGACACGCTTCAATTTTACGCTGTCTCAACTACGATTGCTAGCGATCAAAATGCATTTACCGAAACCAGTCATTATTACCCCAGAGCGTGACGCTGTCCCGACCGTTGAAGCGCTTGCTATGCTGTGCAGAAGGCTGAAGGAGCCATCGATGCTGTACCCAGTAGCTAATGAGTTCGGCAGATCACCTGGGGGCGTACACGCGCGTCTGTCGCCACTTAGCGGATACGTTGTACAACAAATACAAGGCTCACCTGTATTTCAACCATTGTATTGTTGCAGCCCGTATTGAGAGGTATTGCGACGCAATTAGAGCCAAGGGCTCCCCGTTAGCACGTTGCTGGGGTTTTGTGGATGGAACTAAGGAGTATGTATCCAGACCAAGCACTCGTAGGAATCCATTGTCACCATACGAGAACCTACAAAGATCCTTGTATAATGGTCATCCGAGACGGCACTGCTTCAACTGGCAAGCTGTTACAGCTCCAGATGGAATAATTATCAGTCTATTCGGTCCCGTGGAAGGCAGGCGGCATGATTCGACGATGTTAAGCATGAGTGGTATTTTGGATGTCTTTAAAAATGATGAATCTATGCTTTTCAATGGAAAAGTAATTTACGGAGATCCGGCGTATGGCTGCAGTCAGTACGTTTGCTGTCCATTCGAAAATCCTGGATCAAATGGAGCTATGAAACTTTTCAATTCACGTTTGAGCAGTGTTCGCGAGGCCGTAGAGCGGGGATTCGGGTGTGGCAAGATGCTATGGTCATTCCTGAATTGGGATAAAAAGCTGCGAACCCGACAGACCGCGGTTGCAAAGCTTTTTGTTGTTGGAGTGCTACTAACTAACCATCATGCATGTCTTCAACCAACAGGAAACCAGATATCTATATACTTTAATTTACTTCCACCATCAATAGACAGCTACCTTAACGCAAATTAAGAATGACAAAACGTGTCGTATGTTTATAATCCGTTACTGTTTGTCTTTTGCACGTCCGAGAGCTATTTCCAGTAGCTGCAACATAAACTTCTCGAAGTCACGTTCAGCAGCTTGCATACGCTCATCACGTGCGCGCTCAGCTTCTTGACGCTGCTGTTCCAGTTTTAACTCGTGCTCTCTCATTCTTTTGGTCTCGTACTTCTCGAATTGTAAGCGACTATTAAGATACACATACTTCTCAGGGTTCCCCTTATTCATCGCGGATTCCCCCGGCTTGATCGTGTTGACAGCGCGCAGTGAAATCAGATCATCGGCTGTCATAAAGTTCTTTCGAGCTGGACCAGCGGGCTGTACGAGAGACCCACCTACTGTGAGGTTCTCCTGATCAGTTTGTTGTGCAGAAGGCAAGCTCAGCGGCGCGTTCTCTTCCATGTCGTAAGGTGCAGAGCTGGCAGTGAGTTAGAAGTTGTAATATTGAGACTGAAACTAAATAGAAAGCGTGGCTGCGAAAGTTCTCGAATGGAAACCAATTTAGGCAATCCTGTGGCAGTCGGGATTCGCTGAAAATAAACTCAAAAGGAGCTGCAAAAAGGTCTCTAATATACTTCTGTTGTGGCATACTCAGCGTCTTTTCAGTTCTATTTCTTTTTATTTCCATCTTAAGTAGTTAGTGTAATTCATCTAAATCTTTCATAGTAAACTTCTCTAAAAGCTTAGCCTTAAGCTCATTGATCGAGCTCAAATGGGTGCCAGCTATCGCTAAGTCGTCTACGTACACGCACACAATCAGTATGTGCTCGACGCCTTTAACCTTCCACCTTTTTAGATACAAGCAATGCTCTTTCTTGCATCTGAAAAAGCCTAATTGCTTTAAAAATACATTAAGTACGTCGTACCAAATTCTAGGTGCCTATTTTAGGTCATATAGAATTTTCTTAAGTTTGCACACCATTGTTTCGGTTCCACGCCGGAATCCTAACGGCTGCCTCATGTAAATATCTTCACTTAAAATACCATTCAGAAATGCTGTAGACACATCCATTTGATGTAGATGTAGATCTAAGATAGTTGCCAATGCAAGTAAGAGTCTTAGAGACTCATAACGAGCGACCTGGGCAAAGCCCCCTTTCTAGTCAATACCGTATAGCTGTGTGTTTCCCTGAATTACTAATCTGGCCTTGAACCTTTCGAATGAGCCATCTGCCTGGTACTTCACACTAAGAGCCAGTGGCAGCCGAGTGGTCTCCTTCCAGCAGGAAGAGACACTAATTCCCATGTTTGGTTTCTTAGAAGGGCATCATATTCTGTTTGTATGGCGCACTCCCACTGCGTGGCATGTGGACTCCGTCGTGCCTCTTTGATCGAACTAGGAAAAGGTATTTTTACTGATTTATCAGATGCTACCAGATTTAGCTGTGTACAATAGTCCTTCAATTTGACATTCTTTGTTCGCTGTCTTTTTGATCTCCGTTTGTCACTCGTTGTCGCTTTGTCAACTCCCACTGATTGGGACATTGGGTTATGAGTGAAGGTTTCTAAAGTTGTGTCAACAGAAACGTCAACTTCAAGATCACTTCTGGATCGTTTTCCTAAATTTAGAATAATCTCTTTTTCTTTAGGATCTGTACTCATATCATCAACTGGGAATGATCTTTGAATTATAAAATCAGTATCTATTGTGCTAAATTTGACGTCTCTAGCAATCAGATACATATTTGCCTTGACGTCAAGTAGACGATAACCTTTGTAGCTGTGCGACAGGCCTAAGCGTTTGCACTCTACGGCTCGCTCGCCAAGTTTTGCATCTGTTCTCTTTGTCTTTGGAATGTGTGCATAACAAGTGGATCCCCAAATTCTAATATCTAGGCCTTTTGGTTTCGCCTGATAGAGCAATCCATAGGGGCAGTCTAGTCATCGGTAGTCGATTAGTAATGTCGACAACGTAGAGAAGCGCTTCAGGCCACCACTTAGCTGTCATATTAGCTCCTCTGATAGCACAGCGGACACCAGCCATCATGGTCTGGTGTGCCCGCTCAGCACTTCCGTTTTCTTCTTGTGATTCAACATTTGAGTGTTGGAAGTCTAGGCCTTCTTTAGATCATATCTTTTCTAATTCATGATTTAGGAATTCAGTACCTCCATCAGTTCTAATTCTTATGGAAACTGTACGGATAGCACTTTAAGAAAATCCCTTATTTTACCTGGTACCTCTTTTAAACTTTTAACTACGAAGTACCACTTAAAAGCTGTAGCATCGGCCACAACGGCTAATGCGTACTTATAGCCGAAAGTACCATACAGGCCATTCACCTTTAGCTTCCCAGCGGAATCCATGTGGAGTGTATGAAGCGGTTGAGTTGCTTTATCTCCCACCATGTTTCTATAGGACATACGGCGGGACTTTATCTGTGCGCATGTCTTACAAAAGAATGGGACCCCTTTCAGCTCAGAATAAGGCACATTTGAAAGTCCTTTTAATTTCTGACCACTCAGCATTCTTAAACGACGTTCTTTTCCTACATGACCCAAACGTAAATGCCACTCTTTTAGTACCTGTCGATAGGTAGACCTTTGTGCTGTGAGCATTTTCGTCTTTCACAACTTCACGCTGGGCAGATAGTAAACTTCATCAATAGCAACTAGTCTTTGTCTATAAAGAATAGAAACTCACCAGATTTAGACTGAACAGGTCTAAATCCTTGTTTAGCAAGGTAAAACGCACTTAGTAGATTGCTCTCACAATTGCTATCATACGAGACATCTTTGAATTTTAGAGCACTCAAATTTCCTCTTGGGCTCAAAACGTTTAGCTTTATTGAACCTTGTAATGAGCTGCTCGATGTAGTCCCGTTCCCGTAAGTGAAGAAACGACGCTCGCCAGGACGCAGACATCCTTCGAACCATTGTCGGTCTGATGTTATAGCTCATCCTGCTTCTGTATCGATCACCCACATATTATGAGTCAATTGTAGTCTTTTCAGCTTTCTTAAATATGCCCATTTTTCAGTCGAACCTTTTCTTCCAGATCATCCAAGTCAAAGATTGACTGCGATGGGGTGTCCGCTGAATTGCCGCCATCGCTAAATCCTTCATGAAAATTGGGGTCCAAGCTGGAGATGTCGTCCATGACTTGGTCTTCTTCGCACTCTTCAAGCAGTATCTTCCCCTTTTCATTTAGGCGGTCTTTGCCGTACTTCACGATAGACTTTATCGCATTCAGCGCTGTCTTCTTCGTTTGGTTGCCCCTTCGAGCCTTCTTCGCACCAGGTACAGTCTGAACATCCGCTCTGTACAACGGACCCCCTTCCCTTTTCGGGTCCCTGTCCCGAGCCATCACCGGGCGGTCAACCTTGAAGTGGCCGGTCTCAAGGCAATAGAAACCGTCAACTTGTTTTCGCTTCTGTCCTTGCCTCATATTGTTGATAGGGATGGACGGCCCTTTCTCACTGAGCATAGCAATGTCCTTCTTAGATTTCTCACCGAAAATGCGACGAAGCGCACCTTCCACTTTTTCAAATGTGAAATCTCCCTTTTTTATTGTGATCGAGGATGCCCAAAACTCACTGGGTAACTGCGACAGGACCTCAACACAGAGCCACGTCTCAGTGATCATGTCCTGTCCCAGTAGGGTTTGGGTCTTCCGATTTATCTCGTTCCGAGACTTCTTTAACTTTGAAAACCGCGTCCTCAGGTCACGCCACTAGCTCTTCGCGAGCTTTGACCAGGCTCGGGTAAGTTCGATGAGTCCAGCTGCATCGCCCTGGCCATAGTCCTTTTCTAGAGCCTTCATCACTTCATGTGGCTCCATTTGCGAGACAAGGTCTGGTAGCGTAGATAGAAAGAAATTCGGTAGAACTTGGTTCAGAAGATTTTGCATGTCTCCTTTCGCCCTTTCCCAATCCATCACGCCCCATCGATATGCGACCCTTTCTTCCTTGGTCAGTTCACTCTGATCTCGGACCGGGAGTGGCTTTTGCGGACTTCCATGCAGGAAGTCTGCCATCAGTACTCGCACTTCTGGCAGTCCTTTCTCCAACTGTTTGCGCTTATAGAGTTGGTCTTGAGTGTTGATGTGGGTCAACCATTTGTCTTTCCACATTGCGTACCCCTTTCCCTTAAATTGCTCGAGGCCGCTAGCAGCTCTCCCTTCTGATGCTATTGCTGGCTAGTACTTGGAATGTTGGATGTAGAAGTTGTTGTGTAAATGCCGTCAGTTTGGAGAGTGAGATGGCATCAAGGCCATCGCCTCCGTCACATCCCTCGGCTTATCCTTATGGATGGCAAGGTGGCCTCGTTTCTTTGGTTGGTCCACAATAGGAGTCTGTTTACGGCCAGTAGGAACAGCTTATTTACTCGTAGCTTAACTTCAGGCAGTACATACAAAATCTATACGTATTGCGGCGTAACAGCCTTGTCAGCAAAATTGCTAGTATGGTGGAAAGTGATTGTGTGGAAAGCCCATGGGGTTTGCTAGTTCTATTGGAGACTGAGAGTGGGGCAATGTTGTGGATGAAGCTCTTGACGACGAGCTACTTCTTGAACGTTTGATTTTTTTGCAAATGAAGTTTTACGTTCATTTATGGTGCACTAGCCAACAAAAATAGCGTACTCTCTGGATTTTATATCCAGAGTCTTAAGATGAGGAACGCATGAGAACTAATCTCCTCGTAAATGTTAAATAGAACAAATTGACTAGTACACAGGGGTTGAAAAATAAAAAATATAATTGTATTGGTTTTCAGAAACAATATAATCCGTCATTGCCGTATCGACCAAAACAATAATAAGTACTGCAATTATTGTATGCAATTGATAGGGTTAGAGCGGTGTAGTGGTTTGGGAACGACCCTACCAAACCACCGCACAGGGTTCGAGTCCCACACCTGTACGAGAAACTGGTGGTTGTCACCAGGACTTTTGTCCTGGCATAGGTGTAATCTAACAAACAAAAAATGAGCCGGTGACGGCAAGACAGTCCACCAGCGGATATGGATTTTACGCGTAAAGTTAATAACCTCTTATTTTATATATAGAGCAATTCTATAGAGAATAAGAGGGCTCTTAGCTATGTCTACTCTGCATCTCCCTCGTCGTCATCGGCCGATTCATTGTATCCTAACAGAGAGGTGAAGTCCCAGACCTCGCGGTTGGCACGTAGAAACACGAACATCTCAAAGTTTGCTGGTAGCATGCTGGAACGCAAAGGGTTGAGCACCAACTTGCACTGCGAGAAGAGGCGTTCGCACTTATTGCTGGTAGGTGGAATCATTCGCAGTCAATGTACTTGGTCGCAGTCGCCAAGCGAGGTCGCTTTGCATGGCGCAGAGTTTTCGTCGCAAAGTCCACCTTCTTTGGAGTTTCATGCGCGGGGTCAGTTGGACCAGCAAATTGGGCAACCGCCTCTTCTTCGTCTAAGATCAGGGATCGAGTCG